TTCCCCAAATCTGTCTGCAATAATTATTTGGGGAGAAAGGCAAGGAAGGCAGAACAGGTGATAGCACAGTGCATTGTCAGGACAACTCTCACTGACTGTGTGGTTCTGGAGTCTGTGCTCTCTCTGAGCTGAGCAGAGGGAAATCAGCAGTCTCACAGGGACCAGCTTGAAGTCCTGGCAGTAATGTTTTACCTGGGACAGGTGCCTAAGGAGAATGCATGGCCAGAACATACCAATACACTGAAAAGCCTTTGAAATCCATCTTAGCATGACATTTGCCCACTGACTGCCAGAAATAAGGCCACCTAAAATTGACATGGTAATATTTTTGGAGAATAGAACTGGAGCAGCAATGGACTTTTTAATGGTTTCCAAATGACACTGCCACTCTATGAAGCTGATGCTACTTTATTTGACTATATGAAGCTGGAACTGTGTCTTTGTACACAACAACTCTTGCACACACCTAACTATGCAGGAAGTACACATGACAGAGTCTCTAAACACTCTTGCAAAACACCCACAGGTCTCATTTTTTCTCAGGATTAGCAGTGCCCTGAAAATTGGAATGATCAAACTTGAAGCAAAAGCTAAGAAAAACATACTAAATCCCCTGTGTTTTTGTGCAGTCCCAAACATAATAATAAAAATAATAACAGATGCAAGTTTCCTGTACCAAAACAAAATGTGCTCTTATTTGAAGAAAGAGAAAATGAAAACTACATTATAGCATCAATAGTAAGAATTTCACTTCTCCATAAAAGTGGCTGCACAACAGCCACAAAACCTCAGATCCTACCCAGATATATCAGTATCATTCATTCATAATCCCGAAAGAAAAAAGGAAAAGAGAATGGAAGAAGGACACTTTACACAGGGGGAAAGGAAATCTGCAGTTAACAAAATCACCCCATTTTAGATATTTTTCAATCACTCAGAAATAAATGGCCACAAGAAAAATATGATTAAAGCCCCAAACACTGTGTAAACATTGCATGATGTTCACAGACATAAAAAGCATGATTCTTACAATTTGGAAGCTCTTACATAGTGCTTTTTTCTGTTCACAAGGAACTGGGTTCACAAAACTGTATTTTCCACATGCTGGTCCACCAAATAGCCATAGAAAAATACCATGGGCAAAACCATGTTGCTCATAAGTTCTGGATTGCTACAGTTCAAAGGTAACTTGGCCCATTAAAGGAATAGGAAAGTTTGGATACAGATCCAAACACCCTCCATGCGTGGCAACATTGTATTGGTTTTTTATTTTACCCATCTTTAATCACTGAACATTCATTTTTAATTAGGATTCCTTGGGCAATGGGAGCTACCAGCTGCTGGATTCTGAAAGAGACCTGGCCATAACCACGTCTCTGAAGGTAGGTTCCAGACAGGCAGAGAGCATCTTTGCATGCTGCCTACATGAGGTGATAAGCTGTAGTTGCCCTGAAAGATGATGGCCAGGTGAAAGATGAAAAGTTCAGAGAGACAGTTTATTGCTGCAGGTGGGGAGCAATCTCCCATACATCACTCAGAACAAGCATAGCTCTCCTTAACAGCACATCAGGTGTGAAAGCTGGCAGCTGAACACAAGGTGGGAGCTGCAGCCCTGAGAAAACCTTTTTTCCATGCTAGAACTCAGCCAAAGCAGCCCAGTGTGAGTTGCAGTGGATACCACTGTGTCCCCCTGCCACACTGCAACACTACTGTTAGGGCAAGGCACGATCCTGCTCGCAGGAATCCTGCAGCATGTTCTGGAGACAGATGTGGGATTGCAAGTAAGACCTTTTAAAGAAAGAAGGCAGGTCAAGAACAGCTAGAGAGGAAGGACAGGACAGCAAAAGCCAAGAGGCTGTGGTTACCTCTCGTGACAGATGTGACTTTGCAGAGAGGCAAAGGGGATTTACACAGCAGGTCTCACCCGAGTGACTAAAGCTGATATTTCAATAACACTGCCCCAGGGAGAGAGGGGCTCCAGGCTCTGCAAACAGTCAGTCTGCGCTGTGTCAGCTGCACTGGAGTGCTGATTAGGCACTTTTCTCCTCAGAGCAGGCCCATTCAGCAGGAAACGAGGCCACATACGTGCTGCCAGAGCTGAGAAAGCCATATCCTGCGGGTCAGAGGCTCCACTCGTGTGCGTCAGCACACTTCCAGAGCAGCAGAGGTGCACTGTCTTACAGAGAGCTGTGCACCCAGCCTGGGGGAGAAAAAGGGAATTGTACTGCATATTCATTTGGCCTTTGGGATTTGTGGTACATGGGTAAACTGTGATGGCATCAGGTAAGAGACATAAAAAACCTTGAAAAAACTTTTTACAAAAGCAGAAACATTTCAGCAGCAACAAATGGGTGGAAGAGATGTAAGATTTTAACAGTAAAGAAATTCAAATCATACAACTGCCACCTTTCCTGGTTGCCTCAGTTCCAATAGCAAACCCTTCCAACAGAGACAAAGGAAGGTTGCATCTCACCCACCTGCAGCCCAGAGGTGAGAACCAATTTGTAAAAAGTCATCCAACAAATCAACATCAAACCTGGGAAGATGGGAGGTCAGAAGTTTATGTTTGTCCACATCTCACTAGACCGAATAGTGCTGTCTGCCACATGAGTATATCCTAAGGGATTGGCACAATGTAGATTTCCTCAGGTGTGTTAGGTGCTGGGTTACCTGATGAGTGCTGCTGGCAATACTATTTAGAGATAGCAAGAGAGAGACGTGTACATAGATCTATGAATCCTGTTCTAGCTGTGCAAAGAAAAGCTCTCCCTTAGCAAAAAACCTAAAAGGGCAGCATCACCTGAGCTAATTTATGCTATGACAAGTAAAAAAGACTTTCAGTCTAGACCACTTTCAAAAGTACCTTTGGAACTTTAGAATAAATATCCCTTTAAGAGTAAGAATCACTTTTTATGTTGAAGAACTTTCAAGATGGAGCTATAAGAGCAATTTTACACAAAATTCTACATAAATTCTACACAAAAGAGAACCCACAACACAGAGGGAACTGTCAAAAGTACAGAGATCACGTGCTCAAAACAGAAAGAGTATGCTTTCAGTAAACTGTCAGACTTTCAGAAGTCCAGATGTGCCTTTGACTCCTCCTCTGTCTTCTATTATAAGCAAATACATTATAAAGCCTTCTCCCCAGTTAAATAATTTAGTTCTGCCCCAAAACTTGTTAGGTTTCTCAATGCAATTGAAGGAACTGGTGGTGCAAACAGGAATGGAGATTGTTGACAAACAACAAAAATTGATACCGATCCTTGCAGGGCATCTTTCAGCTCTGTAGGGCCCAACCACTCACCTGAGACCTTAGGCAGTCCTTATTGATGTCTTTACACCAGTATTTTGTACACACCATTAAAAGATTAGTAGGCTGAAGTAATTTATCAGAGACATGAAGAGAGGCTTGAACAAGCCTAGTAGAACTATATGAGAAGGCTTAAGATGTCCATCCAACCTAATATCTTCTCTCAAGCAATGACAAGGAGTAGATGTTTTGGAAGGATATGCAAAACCAGTCATCCCTGATTTCCTCTCTATTAGCAGTCTAAGGACATCCTGAAATGGAGTTTCCATCAGGATCATCAAGCTATATAACTGCTGGTAGAATGTTTCTGGTGAATTTGTCAATTTGTTTTTGAATTAGCTTATTGATAGGATTTCCCTTTTGCTGTTAAAAGAGTAGATTTGAATCTACAAATTTTAATTACCTCCCCAGGCAGTATAAATTATAAAAACTGCTTCTGCTTCCTCAAGTCTGATGATTGCTCTGTGCATAATCCAGACCTGTCACTCTCTTGTCAGAAGTGTTTGCTGTATGGACACCAAAGTCTCTCCCTAGAGGAAACAAATTACAAGATTTTAAAGGCAGTTTTCAGTCTCATAAGGATCAGATTTAGCACACGCTAAATTATCTGTGATGTTTAAGAGCAGACATGTATTATCCTGTCTAAGTGATTACTAGGAGAGGGGTGGAGTAGCTAAATTCATACTAATTGCCCTATGCAGGGAAGCAGGAATGCCAATGTGTTTGTATCATCCACACTTCATGCAACCTGAATATATAACCCATCATACTTGCTGGCAGAAGTATTAAATCCATATCTGGGGAGATTTGTAGGCTTTCAAGAGATAAACACTTCAAAAGGAGCACAGGAAAAAGGCAGGAATGGACTGCAAGGTGCCAACTTCCCTTGTTCGTTCTGGCCTAGCACTGTAGTACCATTTGTGAAAACAAGAACATTAATCTTAGGGTGATGCACCTTAAGCTAATGTATCAATTAATCAAGGATGGTTTTAGATTGATTGTCAATGGTCTGTAGGTGCTGTCACAGCAGAGGGCAAACACCAGAGCACAGAATGCCATGTCCTGGCACAGGTGTCCTAAATGCCTACAGCGTTCATCCCCATGCATGCTGTTGGGCTACTCCTGCCTGCTACACTTCCTTGTCCCCAGGCTGCCACCACCTGAACCCACGGAATGGGAGATAATGTTAACTAGAACTACCAGGGAGCAGTGGTCCTGTTCCAGCTATGGGAATGGGATGAGTGGAATGGGCATGAGGGCTTGTAAAATTGCCAACACATCCAGGAAACCTGAGAGGATGCCTAATACAGCCTTCCCCATGCCAGCAATCTAACCCACAGCCTCCAGCTGCCTCATCTGCTCCAACAGCGGCGTTCTGTGCTCAGGGAGGAGGGAGTTTCTCATTTTCCCTCGACACAGATCCGTGTCCTTTGGGCAAGGGGTGTGGGTGTGCAGAGAGCATCGCGGAGGCTAGAGATGCCTGTCTAGCCCTAATGCCGCCCTACAGGCATGGTGTGCACAGAAACGACAGGGAAAGGGGGCGAGAAAAAGAGAGTTGAATGGGGACAGGACGCTGGGAAGCGCAAAGGAGTAGGGAGGGAAGGAAGAAAGCGGGAAAAAAAAAAAAAAAAAAAGGAAAAAAAGGAGGAGAAAGGGGAGGAGATGAAAAGCAAGGGGAGAAGGGAGGACCGGGTGGGGAGGAGGCGAGAGGCCGGGGAAGAGAGCAGGGAGGCAGCTCGGCAGAGGGGGACGGGACGGACCCGGCGCCCCGCGGGCCATGCGCCTCCTGGCTACGGCGCTGGCCGCCCTGCTGGCCGCGGCCTCGGCCCCAGGTAAGCGCCCGGCGGGCCCCGAGCCCGGCCCTCGGCCCTCGGCCCGGCGGGACCCCGGCCCGGGCCGCCCCCGCCCGGCGCCGCGGAGCTCCCGGGTCCCGCGGCGGGCCGGAGCCCCCGGGGCTCCCGGGGCTCCCGGGGCTCCCGGGGCTCCCGGGGCTCCCGGGGCTCCCGGCCGCGGAGCCCCCGCCCGCCCCTGCCCCTCTCCCTGCCCCGCTGTCTGCCCCGCTGCTTGCCCCGCTCCCTGCCCCGCT